ACAATCCTAGCATTCAGCTCAACCTGTTGGTGTGACAGTGGCTTCTCTACCTTGGTCCAGCTCAGGTCACAGCAGAGAACCAGGTTGGACACTGAGCATGATCTGAGAGCAGCCCTGTCTACTGTCACCGCAGACTCTGAAACTCTAATCAGGAGTAGAGCACGTGCCCAACTGTCTCATTAACTTCAACAAATGACCTGATTAGGCCAAAACTTTATTTTGTACATGCAGTTGTCATGGTCCTCCTAAGTTTCTTATTAATTTGCTCAAAATGGAGTGAAAATGTGTTGTTTTGTGGCTTTATTTATTTTGTGCAGTTTTGTACAAGCAGTTGTCATGGTCCAAGGTGGGTCGCGACTTAATGACCATGAGAAAATGTGGGTCCCAGGGTGAGACCAGTTGAGAACCCCTGTTCTAGATTGTCCCAGTTTCGTTCCATTACAGGTACCGTAAATTCCAGACTATTGAGCACCTGAATATAAGCTGCACCCACTAACTTTAAAAAGAAAACAAGTTTTGTACATAAACAGGCCGCACTTGTCTATAAGCTGCAGGTGTCCACGTTGTAACATGAGATATTTACACAGAAAGATTTTTTAACTTTTAATTAAATTTGTACCGGTAACATACACAAATGCGTGAATGCTTTTTTTCTGAACAGTGCCTGTAACACGGCTGGTTAAGAAGATAAAAAATTCAGCAGCCTACCAGGAAAAGTCATTGATCGCTATCTTCATCTTCCTCCTGCACTAAAACCACTAAAGTCGTCTTCTTCAGTGTCGGAACTGAACAGCCTCAGAATGACTTCGTCACACACTTCCTCAGTCTCTCTTTTGTTGTCGCTCTCAATGTCACTTTCATCTCGAGGCAAATTCATAAAAATCGGAAAAATCCATAAATTAGCTGCATCGTTGTTTCAGCCGCAGTGTTAAAAGTGTGTGAAAAAAAAATAGCGGCTTATAGTCCGGAAATTACAGTATTTATGTATATATAGAAACTTCCCATTACTTGATGTGAAATTATGTAGTCAGAACTGAAAAATGGCCCATATTTACTGTATTCTTTTACAGCTTTTCCCAGTTGTGTTAAATTACAGGGAACAACTACAAATGAATCAAAGCTATAAATAATGTCCTTGTTATAAAATCTATATTTTTACAGGTTGCTCTTTTACAGCGTTTAACCTAAAGAATACACTTTTTACTCAAATCGTCTGCCGAGAATGTCATTATTTTACGGACTTTTCCCGTTATTTAAAGTGGAATAAATTATAGTAAGAACTGAATCATTCACTGTTTTGTTAAATTACAGATAATAATCAGTAAGTCACAGAAAAAAAGGATTAATTACAAGTTAACTGTAAAATAAAATTAAATCATGTCCACATCGAAAATCATTTTTTGTTGCAAATATATATATTTAAAAAAAAAAATCCTAATTTGTTTTGTTAGATGTTCACAACAAAAGTCTGTAATTTTACAGATATTAATTCATAGTATTTTATAGATTTTCCTAGTTTTGTTCAATTACTTTTAATAACTAAAAAATAACCACACTTGTAAGTAATTTGCACATCAAATTTTTACTTATTTTTAAAATTTCTTTCACAAATACTAATCTGTTCTTTTACAGCATTTGACTTAAAATGAATATTTTTACTGTATTTTAATCCACAAAACAAGATGTTTCCCGTTATTTAAAGTGAAATTATTTATAGTAAGAACTGAACCATTCACTGGTTTGTTCAATAACAGATAATAAGCAGTAAGTCGCTGGAAAACAAAGGATTAATTACAAGTTAACTGTAAAAAAATTAAATAATGTCCACATCAAAAATATTTCTTTTTGCAAATATTTTTTTTCTGTGTAAATTGTCAAAGAAAAATACCCTCATTTGTTTTGTTAAATGTCCACAACAAATCGTCTATTTTTACATAGTAATTTGTTCTTTAGGATTTTTAACTGTAATTTTCAAACAATCAAACAACCTTCTTCTTTTTTTTTTTTTTAACAAATATTAATTTGTTCTTTTACAGCATTTGACTTCAAATTTACATTTTTACTGTATTTAAATCTACAAAACAAGCCATTTCCTGTTATTTAAAGTTAAATTATGTATTGTAAGAAACTGGAAAATGATCATTACTTTTATTTAAACTGTTATTTTATGGATTTTCACAGAGTTTTGTTAAATTACAGGTAAAATGTTTTAATTTACATGTTAACTGTAAAAACCATAAATAACATCCACATCAAAAATCTACGTTTTTACAAACAATGATTTGTTCTTTTACAAAGTTTGATGAAACTGCTTTATTTGTACTGTGTGTAAATCGGCAGAAAATCAGTTTTGTTGAAGCGTTAATTTATATGTTGACCATGAAATCCAGGCCAAAACTAACAAATGCGCACATCACATAATTGTATTTTTACATATATTAATTTGTTCCTTTCCCTCGTTTGACTTGAAAATGAGACATTTTAGTGTCAAAACTGTCGTTTTCCAATTTTGTTCAATTACAGGTAGTAATTTATAAATGATCCAAAACTGTAAATAATAATTTCCACATTAAAAATCTGTTATTTTTACATGTAGTCATTTGTTCTTTTACAGCAGCTGACTGGAAAATTACACAAAAATTGTTATTTTCTATTAAGCTGCAGACCTTTTCCTCCCCCCCAAACTTCTGGCTTCTTATTTAACACATTGTTTGATTATTTACAAGCAATCTAACCGCTTTAGTGTTCCACATTATTATATTTTTTTCAAGCAGTCTTTTTTCTATATTTTCTTAAATTGTTTTCATCGTTGTTCTCGTTTTGAGATCGTCTATAAGTTTAAACGGATCTACTCTTGGTGGTACGAGCAAACGGCTTTTTAAAATGTGAATTTCCTCTAATTTATTTTTTTTTGCTTTACATGTTATTTGAACAGTCCTAAAATTAACTGAATCAATAAATTTCAAAGTATTCTTTCTGGAATATAATATCTTTATGTGCTCTTTATATCCCATGTTAATCCCATAGCTTTTTTTGGAAATATTTTTACTGTATTTTATGTTTTCTCACACTTCTGCAGTCGGTCAGTAAAACCAGAGAGCACTTTAATGTATGAGAGTCGTCCGTCCTCTCATCAGTCGCTGCAGGAATCCTCGTCTGATAATCAAAAGCGTCGCCTCACGTTATCCTCCTCTGATGCTTCATGTGTGCCGCGTTCCCCGCCGCGTCTCCCAACACGTGTGTGCGTGTTGCCCTGTCTTCACTTCATGTATGAGGTGTGTGTGTGTGTGTGTGTGCGTGCGTGTGTGTGTGTGCGTGCGTTCGCAGCACGTGGGTGGGTGTGAACCGTCTCTGTGGAGACGGAGAAGCTGCTCGCCGCTCATTGGCCGAGCAGCTGCGGAGGGGGCGGGGCTTCCTGTGAGGAGGGAAGTGGAGACGAAAGATGGAGAAAGCAGAGAGCAGCACAGTTACAGTCGAAGATTTAAGTGAAGGACAGGATTTAACCACTGACATATGACGCGAATCCACGAGATGAAACATTTTCTAATTTACCACCGTTGATTTTCAGCTCCGATACAGATTACTAGTGATCAAGGAGATCGATATGTGGACCCAGTGATAGCAGGGATCCTGTCATGTCACTTCTTCATTAACTCTTACTTTATGTGTGGTTTTGGCTACAAAAAAAACCAATAACATCAATATTTAAATGGATGTTTTTTTTCCCCTGTAATGTTGTTAGGTATTTGTAATTTAACAAAATGTAAAATAACAGTTAAACAAAGTCCCGAACTTACATAATTTGTCTTTCAAAGAATAGGAACTATCTGTAAAGTTCTATTTTTGCCGCCTCCATAGGGTTAAAACAGTGTGATCTTACAATCAAAAGTTGTAAAGGAACACATTTCTGTTTGTAGAAATCCAGATTTTTATTGTGACATTATGTACACGTAGTGTTTTAGGGTTGACATGTGAATGAATACTTTTGTTCTGTGCTTTTACTACATATTATCTGTTATTTAACAAAACAGGGAAAACCTGTAATATAATAGTTGTAAACATGATTTTTTTTCCCCTTAACATAGATTATTTTTCTTTTAAATAACTTGAAATATTTTTTTTTTACTGATTTAAACATTAAAAATTTTGTAATTTTACAAACATTGTAAAAGAATAAATTAGCGTTTATATAAATGCAGATTTTTGATGGACATTATTTACAGTTGTGACATGTTTTTTCGGATCATCATGTAAATTGATACTTTTTTCTGTGATTTTCTTTGTAATTTAACAATTTACTAAATTATTTACCATTTTTTTAACACATACCCAAGGTTTCTTTAAAGTAACGGGAAATATCTAAAAATGATGATTTTTTTTGTGGCTCAAACTTTGCTTTCTTTAAGGGTTAACAAGTAATACAGTCATAATATAATAATAATAATCATATATGGTATTAAGGAGGCTTTTTGCTCTCTGTTTTTTTAACCTCATCATCATTTACATTGTTTACATGCACCAACCGGAGCTGCACTCCTGCGTTTTTACGAGACAATAACCCGCAATTTAACAGCACAGGGACTCTTGACAGAATAATAGCAAGTTGCAATGTTCAAAACACAGCTATGAACAATCTGAGTTCATCGTCTTCGCTTCTTGTAAAGAGGTTTTCATGCAGTCGTGCAGCGGTGATACAGAAACGATGGAAGGGAATGAAATATTCAAATAGATGGAGGAGGAGGAGGAGGGGAGGGAAAGTGTGTGTGTTGGAGGGGAGGGAACACCAGAGTGTGTGTGTGTGTGTGTAGGAGAGAGAGAGAGAGGGAAGGCGGGCGAGCGAGTGAGCAGGGGGTGGAGAGGAAGGCAGCAGTGGCAGCGCTGCATCATCACTATAGAGCCGCTACAGCAGAGAGGAGGCAGCTCACTGTCCACATTCATTCACTCACACTGGAGGTGGGCCAGCAGCCTCGCAAGAAGCTCCACATCCAGGAGACTCCACTTCGCCCGTGGACGCCGCCTCTGTCCAGAAATGTCCGACCTGCGGACGAAGCTTCCCCGTCTGCCGTTTGTTTTGTTAGGACTGTCCTGACTTGAAGTGTTGGCGCAGGAGCTGCTGGGAATTTCAGCTTTGTTTTGTTTGTTTTGTTTTTTGCTTCCTTTGCCGACACTTGCAAGCAAGCGGATGGCTGTTTTGGTTGGTGGCTGCGCGCCGGAGCAGAGTGCTTACCTCAGGATTTGTAGTCGAGGGAGGGGGGTATGATAAACAGCTGCGAGGGGAGGACGGGTTGCACTGCAGCATCAGACTGGCATCTCTTGCTCTACTTTTTTTTTTTTCTTTCTTTTTTGGCTGTCGAGGTTGCACACATGCACATATTTCACGCCCAGCAGCAGCGGCAGCAGCAGCAGCAGCAGAGCCCGGCTGCATTTTGCATGCACCGGGGGTTTCCTGCTACTTTAAGGACGAGCTGCTCTGCCCGCTGAGTGAGAAAAGATGCTGATTTGAGAAGAACGGGGGGCTTTGTTTTCGGAGCAAGCAACTTCTGGATTAACAAACATAAAAAGAAAAGCGCCCTCGGATGACAGGATGGCGGCAGCGGCGTCGAGCTGAAACCGCCTCCCCCTCTCCAGTCCAAACATGAACTCTTCGTCCGACGCGAACCAAAGTGGCTCCCCCCCGTTCTGCCTTCTGGGTGCCGTGGGTTACTCCCACAGCCTGGATACCTGTGTGCTGGAGGTGGTCGTCATCCTCTTCCTCACCGTGCTCATCATCGCCGGCAACCTGGTGGTGATCTTCGTCTTCCACTGCGCCCCGCTGCTGCACCACCACACCACCAGCCACTTCATTCAGACCATGGCCTACGCCGACCTGCTGGTGGGCGTCAGCTGCCTGGTGCCGTCGCTGTCCCTCCTCCACTACCTCCGAGGCCTGAACGAGGAGCTCACCTGCAAGGCGTTCGGCTACATGGTGTCGGTGCTGAAGAGCGTCTCCATGGCGTCGCTTGCGTGCATCAGCGTGGACCGCTACATCGCCATCACCCGCCCGCTGTCCTACGCCACGCTGGTGACGCCGTGCCGCCTCAGGGTGTGCATCGTCCTCATCTGGATCTACTCCGCTCTGATCTTCCTGCCGTCCTTCTTTGGCTGGGGGAAGCCGGGTTACCACGGGGACATATTCCGCTGGTGCGCCAACTCGTGGAAGACCAACCCAGGCTTCAGCACCTTCATCGTAGCACTGCTCTACGCCCCAGCGGCGCTCACGGTCTGCTTCACCTACGGGAGTATATTCAGGATCTGCCGGCAGCACACGAGGGAGATCACCCAGCGCCACGCCCGCTTCAGCTCGCAGGCGGATGGTGATAAAGGCGAGCGCGGGGAGCGTTGCGAGGGCTGCCCGGACAAGCGATACGCCATGGTGCTGTTCCGCATCACCAGCGTCTTCTACGTGCTGTGGATGCCGTACATCCTCTACTTCCTGCTGGAGAGCGCCGGGCTCTATCACCACATGGTGGCGTCCTTCCTCACGACGTGGCTGGCCATCAGCAACAGCTTCTGTAACTGTCTCATCTACAGCCTCTCCAACAGCGTCTTCCGGAAAGGCCTCGGCCGCCTCTTCAGCCCGCTGTTTCCCTCCTGCCTCGGCTGCATGGACGCCAAGAAGGCGCCGGCGTCCGTCAGCCTGCGACCGGACCCTCGCTGCCAGGTGTGACTGTGCTTTGGCAGGCTCGGTCGGGTCACTTTGGGAGGCCCTCGGTTGGTGCTTTGCTCTTGGCTGCATGACACAGGCCTTTTTAGTCCCGCAGTGAAATGTGTTGAGGACCCCTCCACGGAGCACTGAGGCGCCTGTGCAGGTGCCTGTCGGTCCTTTCAAAAGGCCGGAGGGTTGTGAAGTTCCTTCTGGGACGAATGCTGCAAGCCGGCGACACAGTGGAGTACAAGTATTGATGATTGATTTGTGTCAGTTCAGAGGATTTAACAAACACTCCTGCCTGCGATGATTTCAGAACTCCCAGATGCAAAAAAAACAAACACAGGAAAGCACAGTTCGACCTGCGCTTGCCAATCCGCTGCAAAAAAAAAAAAAAAGAAATGTTTTAAAGCCTGACTGAAAAATCTGAAAATTGTCTTGGATCTTTCAGGGTAGAAATAGGTGTTGCAAAAAAAAAAACAAAAAAAACAACTAAATTGAAACAGACTGCTGATCAGTTTCCCCCTGAGGGAACTCCAGATGCTAATGAGCGTATGAAAAATCATTCGCCAAGAAGCCGTCCTGATAATGAGCCCGTGTGTGTGTGAGCTGAAAATGCGTAGCGGATGGACTTTGAGCTCGTTTCCCAGAGAGGAGATTGAGGTTTATTTAGGAGCTTGTGTGGGTTTTATTAAAAGGATTCCTCCCTTGTGAAGCTGGGCGTTAGTGGGAAGCTCCGTGCTTATAACCCAGAGTCGGGTTTCACAGGAAAAAAACGTTGATTTAGCTTTACTTTCTAAGAAGGCAAAGTTTTCCGAGGCTCCCGTGACAGAGACAGTAAATAATATTTATTTAGAGAGATTTCTTCTCATTGTGTTTCATCCTCAGGTTTATCAGCAGTTCTTTTTAAGCCTCCAGGCTGTTTGCCTTTGATCTCCGCTGAAACAGAACACCACTCTTAAATCACAAGCCACGTAACGTCGTAAGATAATCAGCTCATGACTTGTAGTGCAGTCGGTGTCGATAACGAACCCGCTGTCCACCGGGACCCTTGGGCCTCGATGCAAACTTCACTGTAACCTCTGACTTTGCTGCACGTGTCTCTCTTTGTCGCTGCTCGGATCAGTTTTAAAGCCGAGGAGAGGAGTTGTCGTCGTGCTTCATGAGTCCGGCCTCGCAGCGTCGAGAGGTCAAAGCACTTTCCTCACAGCCGATGTGGCTTTTTTTTTTTTTTTTCCCCGTGGCTTCATGTAAATACACTTAGAGTATCAGTGTTTAAACTGTGGCCCTGCGGGGGGATTTGTCGTGGACCTCCAGGACAACCGATGATCTTGTGGATCTGTTTTTTAATTTATTTGTCACAGCCAAGAGGTCTGACATGCTGCACTCGAACCTGTTTCTTAATTTACGATGCTGAGCAGAAGCCGGAGGTGTTTCTTTTACACTCCGCCGGAATATTTAAAGATGTTGTGACGAGTTTGCTTTTAAAGTCACTATGAAATGAGTTTTCTGAGAGCGTCTTGCTCCTGAGTTTTATGAAAGAAGAGGGAATCAAAAGAGAAAGGGGAGGATTATAGGTTAAAAATGCATCACTCAGTATGGCCAAACGTATATGGACAGCCCAGGCCTTTGTGTGCCGTTTATCTTGGGCCGTTTCCATGATTCACAAACATGCTGTGATATTTGTCAAAAATTTTCTATCATGCGTTTTACTATCTATCAAACCACTACGTCGCAGAAATTGCTATTCTCCTTGAAGTGAGCATGCTGGATTTGCATTAAATCACAAGACAGAAGTAAAGTTCAAGCCACGGTGGCAGCACTCTGCACTGCTGCGATGTGTGGCGTGTTTTATTTATTGATTGGCTCATTAAACTTACGGTAAACTGCTGTAAATGAGCCGGATTTAGATGAAGAACCTGCTGTCAATGAGCTAGACGAGGTTAGCCTGAGCAAAAGCTATATTTTTAGCTTTTTCCTCTTCTATTGTGTGTAAATGCCAAACGACACCTTTTTATGACTCTTGGGGGATGTGGGTTTTTCAGGACCGATACAGATTATTGATAATCGAGGAGGCTGATATTTGCATTTGCAGTAATGATGAAAATTTTTAGATAAGTTTTAGAAATACTTCAGAGTATTTATGTTTAATTCAAAGATAACTTTTACACATTTATCCCCCAGTGTTGATTGGCTGTTACGTGTGACGTTTAACCAATCAGATTGTGCCGTGGGCGGGACTTTACTCACCGCATTAGCACCAAAGCAACACATTGTAAAATCTATTTTATCGTCAGGTTATTTTAAGAAATAACCTGAAAAATCCTGAATATCGAATCCAATCATTGGGCGACCCCTAGTTGATGAAATTCCAATTTTTATTCCATTCTGAATTCAGACATCTGCCAAACTAAGCTCGGTTGGTTAGCATGCCTAGCTTACCAAAGAGCCACAGATTTGTTGTGGTGGAGTTACTTCTTTAAAATCACATATCTAAATGTATTTAATAGTATATTAATATTTTATATCTATTGGGGCTGTAGTCAATCAGAGGAAATGTTGGTCCAACCAATCGATTAGTCGCAGGACAAGCTAAACACGCAGGTTATCTGTCAATAAACTTACATCATTGCTAACCTTTTTAGCCTAATTATAAAGACTTTAGACTTACAAAGCTAGTGTTTGCAGCAAACTAAAGCATTTGAGTCTGGTTAGTTTACACTGAAATGATAGGAAAAGCCTTGAAGCAGCTGTTCATGTTCAGATAATTATGGAAAATACATCAACTGGTGATTCAGCACAAGAACTACCGAGGTGACAAAACACCGACAAGTTAGCTGCTGTTTTTACACCATCTGCCATGTTGGTTCTAACACGTGAGCTGTTGTTTGCAGGCTGAAGGAAATGCAGCCACACTGACAACTTCTTTCACATGAAATGAATTTGTTTGAAGATAACTTGGAGCAAATCTTAAATAAGTTAGACGTGGCAGCCTCCGTTAGGTTGGGCCAGTTCAAAGTTGTGAAAACGTTTACAGATAGTTTGTTCCTCCTGCCCAAAATAATGGGTTAATCTCTGAAAGACGTCGATGTAGAGCTTTTCTGCTTATCAAAGTTAATGGTCCGACCAATGAGGAGTTGGTTGAATCAAACTCTGTCGATCAACCAGTTCATCAGTTGTCCTGAAAACTGCAGCTCTAATGTTTTGCATGCTAAATTTTGGGAATATTTGCCTTTTTTCTAACCAGTTGGCGACAGTTTTCTTTGTAATTTTCAATATGAAAAGACCATGTTATCAAATGTGAGGATTTACTGTGGTCAAATCCTCTAGTCAACTCGGACGCTACAGCCCTAATATTAATGTCGGTGTAATTATTAATAAACAGCGTATTAAAAGTTTCCCAGAAAAAGCGCTAAACATGTTAAATCTTTCTTTATCTGTCAGATTTCCTGCAAAGCGCCCCAAAAATATTTGGCCACCCTGGTGTCGGATATGTTCACGCAGTCTGTTAAATCTGTATTAAATGGTTGAATAGGTGTTTCAGACCAGACGGTGACTGTTTTATTTCATTGTGACTTTAAAAAGAGGTGCAGAGTCGAGTCACAAACGTGTTGTCGCTGCCTGGGTCCGGAGGTCGCACTGAGGTCGGGGTTTAGCTGTGGAAACGCTCCAGCCGCTGCCCTACAAACCGACCCTGCTTCCACCACTACGTGCTATTTATACGACGGTTTTTCTATGTAACAGTGTGTGCTATGTACAGAATCTGCTATGAAAATGTAATTTCCTGCAAAATGTTGACACGGTTGATTCCCCCCCCGACTTTATCTGCATGGTTCTGGTTCAGTCTGGATCAGCGTTTTCTGTCTCATGATGCTACTGAGAGCAATTTACTGACTGTACTCGTTGTCTTAATATCCTAACTACTGTTACGTAACACAGATGGCTTACCACGTTGTTTTTTTTTTATGAGTGCAAAGAGTTCCTGTTTGTTACGGTTCATGTCAGAACACAAGAATGACCTGCAGAAAACCTTCCGGCCTGCCTGTGGTTCCTCTTCTGTCGGGATAAAATCACACAAATCTGCAAAGAAAAAAACAATCAGGTCGACACGTGCTACGGCAGAGGTGTCAGCTAACGTACAAACATTTGCAGCTTTGTGTTGTTTTCCTCGACAGCATTGCAGCGCTGCTCAACTGTGGGAGTCGGTGCAATACGAGCTCACAGCAAAATCTGAAGGAAAGGGCTTTAATTATCGTCACTCTGGTTGCGCTGTGTGCCGTTCAGCATGTGATCCGAACTTTGAAAATCTGCTGCAGATGATTGTAAATAAGGACTGTAATTGTCTGATTAAAGTGAGATGTTCTGTTTACTGTCTTTCTTGGCCTGATGTTCTGCAAGAAATCCTCAGAACGCGTCATTAAAATGCACCGACACGTCCTGCGGTTCAGCCGAATCGTCGCTGGACTTTTGTCATGTCAGAACCAACTGATTTTGCTATAATATCACACCTTTAAGCTTAGATTTAGTACATTTTCCAGATGGAAGTACTCGTCACACACGATATGTTCAAGGACGGTCGTAAAGCTACAAATCTGGCAGTTTGTGGTGATGATAAATGGTGCCATTTTGGTAATTTCTTCATTATTTCTTTCAAATAAAACATGGATTCAGAGGGTTAAAACCAGTGATTTCCAACCTTTTTGGTTTTTTACTAAAAGCAGTTTCTCTTCTAACTCACACTTTAGATGTCTGAGTTGTTGACAGCTTCATCAAATATGGCTTTTTTTCCCCACGATTTCACTCCTACACTCCAACATGTGTGGAATAAACTAATGTTCATGAAACATATTCATGAATTGAGATTTGGTTTATTTTTCAGAGTAAATTGCACGTCACACAAGATTAGTTTGAAAACTGTCAAAAAGTTAAAAATCCAACAAATAACTTGTATTTTTACGGTTTCTAGCTTGTACTTCCATCATTTTGGTGGTTAAAATACAATAAAATTAAAAAAAACCAAAAAAAAACCCTTTAAAATCCTGCTGGTAGGTTTTGGGATTAAAACCAATACATTGATGATAAATGTAAATGTATATACACATGTGGACAAAATTGTTGGTACCCCTCGGTTAATAAACCCACAAGACATTGGTTTTGAACCGTGGTTTAACAGAATTGTGTAAAAAAAAAAACAAAAAAACTCATAAAACAGGCCTGGACAAAAATGACGGTACCCCTAGAAAAGACTGAAAATAATGTGACCATAGGGACATGTTCAATCAAGGTGTGTCCTCTAATTAGCATCACAGGTGTCTACAAACTTGTAGTCAGTCAGTCGGCCTATTTATAGGGTCACTGTGCTGTTTGGTGACATGGTGTGTACCACACTAAACATGGACCAGAGGAAGCAAAGGAGAGTTGTCTCAGGAGATTGGAAAGAAAATTATAGACAAGCATGTTAAAGGTAAAGGCTATTAGACCATCTCCAAGCAGCTTGATGTTCCTGTGACTACAGCTGCACGTATTATTCAGACATTAAAGATCCATGGGACTGTAGCCGACCTCCTTGGATGTGGCTGCAGGAGGAAGACTGATGACAAAAGGAAGAGACGGATAATACGAATGGTAACAAAAGAGCCCAGAACAACCTCCAAAGACATGAAAGGTGAACTCCAAGGTCAAGGTCCATCAGTGTCAGATCGCACCATCCGTCGTTGTTTGAGCCAAAGTGGACTTGATGGGAGACGACCAAGGAGGACACTGTTGTTGAAAACAAATCAGAAAAAGCCAGACTGGAATTTACCAAACTGCATGTTGACAAGCCACAAAGCTTCTGGGAGAATGTCGTCTGGACAGACGAGACAAAACTGGAACTTTTTGCCACATCAGCTCAATGTTCACAGACGCAAAAATGAAGCATATCAAGAACAGAACACTGTCCCTACTGTGAAACATGGAGGAGGTTCTGTTATGTTCTGGTGCTGCTTTGCTCCATCTGACACAGGGTGTCTTGAATCTGTGCAGGGTCCAATGAAATCTCAAGACTATCAAGGTGTTCTAGAGAGAAATGTGCTGCCCAGTGTCAGAAAGCTTGGTCTCAGCTGCAGGTCATGGATTTGCAACAGAATAATGACCCAGAACACAGAGCAGCTAAAAACAGGCAAGAACGGCTCAGAGGAAAACACTGGACTATTCTGAAGTGGCCTTCTATGAGCCCTGATCTAGATCCTATTGAACATCTGTGGAAGGAGCTGAAACATGGCGTCTGGAGAAGGCAGCCTTCAAACCTGAGACAACTGGATCAGTCTGCTCATGAGGAGTGGACCAGAACATCTGCTGAGAGGAGCACAAGTCTCACTGACAGTTACAGAAACCGTTTGATTGCCTGAAGAGGTTGTGCAACAAAATATTAAGTTGAGGGTACCATCATTTTTGTCCAAGTCTGTTTCATGAGTTTATTTTTTAAAATAATTCTGTTGAACCACGACTCAAAAGCAATGTCTGATTTTCACTGATTAATTTCAATAGAATTCTTATTTATTTTTACTTTTTCAGATTCAAGTTATTTCTGTGACCATTGTGGGTTTTTCTTTCATTAACCGAGGGGTACCAACTATTTTGTCCACATGTGTAAGTTTAGATGTGGTTGATGTTCCTGATGAAGCAGCACCATGTCACACATACGTTCAATTTCTAGCTGCATATTTTTTTTTTGATAAACACGGTATGGGACGGGGATTTGTTGCTTTATTTAGGAACGCGTCTAGTTTAATGCATCAACGTTCCCAAAGCCCACTCGATTGTCTCCACAGCAGCAACGTTTTCTCTATTTTCCAAAACTTTTCAGCGTTGATTAGTTCGGCCCCTCTCGTGTCACCAAAACAGTTCTGACCTCTGTCTGGACTCCACAGACCCTGTCAGACATTCACAGGAAATCCTTTTAAGCTCTGGAAGTTGCGAGGCCGGGCTGCAAGGTGGCGCAGTTCGTTAGCACCGTTGCCTCGCAGCAAGAAGGTCGCCGGTTCGCGTCCCGGTGAGGACACCCGGGATCTTTCTGCGTGGAGTCTCCATGTTCTCTCCGTGCAGCGTGGGTTCTCTCCGGGTTCTCCGGCTTCCTCCCACACAGTCCAAAACATGTTGAGGTTAATTGGTGATTCTAAATTGTCCGTAGGTGTGAATGTGAGTGTGCTTGGTTGTCTGTTTCTAAGTGTAGCCTTGTGATAGACTGGTGACCTGTCCAGGGTGTCCCCTGCCTTCACCCTGAGTCAGCTGGGACAGACTGCAGCCCCCCACGACCCCAGTGAGGATTAAGCGACGCATAGATAATGGATGGATGGAAGTTGAGCCTCGATAGATCCCACATTTGCTCTATCAGATTGAGAATTTGGGGAATTTGGAAGCCGAATTGACTCCTTGAACTCTTTGTCGTGTTTCTCAAATCCTTTCTGGACAATGTTTGCATGAGGAAAAGGGGTGAACATCCAGCCATTTAGCACCATCTTCACAGTTCTAATGCTAACAATGCTGCAGTTTGGGTGAGTTTAAAAAAAAAAAAGACAACACAGCTTACAATCCTGCAGGCAGGTTTCGAGATTAATACCAATAAATACTGCGTCACGGCGTCCCAAATGTCTCCTGACAGTAGGAACCGTCCCCCGTAGAACCTCTTTCAGGAGAGAAAAAAGTACTTTCTTTAGGACAGGTAAGATTTAAAACTGCTGTGTAGGTCTCGACACAAGCATCGTTTATCTAGCAGCCGTCTGTCTTCTCCAACATCATTTACAGCATCCTGTTTCCTACCTAGAACCGGAGTGAAGTCCAGTAATTGCTGTTTGTTTTTGGTGTACTGTAAGTTGCAGCTGGTTAGATTCTACACGGCGACGGAGAAAGAAAACATTTATGGCATCTCAAACCTGCTCCGAATTCCTGCTGTGGAAACGTTCAGGTAGATGTGAAAGTAACATCCTCATAGCTTCCCTTCTTAAATCAATCTGCATGCTGTCAACCTGCAGTCGTCTACATCACAGTTTAACAGTCAGATCCTCGTGCTGCACATTTTTCCTGCTTCCAGAATCAACTTTAAGAACTAACTTGCTGCCTGACAGGAACCCCTGTAACCAGAGAGTCAGTGTTATTACTTCCCTTGTCAGTGGTTTTTATGTTTTGGCCAATTAACAAACCCACAGCACTCCTCCTCCAGCCTCTTAGACCACAGAGGAAACAAGAAGAATCTGCTGTAAGTCTATTAGACAAAATCAATAACTAACAAAGTGCATTGTAAAACATTAATTTCTTATCAATTGTTAATTGCATAAAGCTCTGCAGGGTTCTTGCGTGCTAACGTATGCGGCTGCAGGTTTGTTTTAATTAGCGAGATGTGCAGCAACCGACCCTGACCCTAACACATTGCAAATCTGGTGGATCAGCTGAACTAAACAGTAAAATAAACGGGGAAAAACATAAATATAAGGTCCTTTAAGACTTAATTTAGATTTGTGTGACATCAGATTGTAGCACAGTGAGTTTTATAACAGAGTAAGAAATTGTAGGAATAAGTGACAAACAGCTAACCTCTGAACCAAACTGAATTTGTGGGTGTTTGTTTTTGCTCCTGTCACACGTTTCTTCACTGTGAGCCCATTCAGAAATGTGTTTATCCACAGTATGAAGCCGTTAGAATCATTGTGTATCTTACAACCTTTAAAAAAGCTGGAATCAACACGTTTAATGTTCCTCCAAGCGCCCTCAGTTGTTACTAATATATGGGAAAAATCTCTACATACAATTAATGTTTTATTATTCTGCAGTTTAATTCTTGAAAGATGTTCCATCATGCTAGATGTATCTCCAACAACAGGCTCCTCTGTTCACTGTTTCTGAGCCATGCTGCATTTATTTACTGATCCAGTAGGTTGGATTTTCCTCTCAGTCTCTCTGTGGAAACACTGCCTGCAATTCAATAGAAAGCTATCTGAACGTTTGTCACATGGCTGGTCTAACTTGAGTCACTAATGGCTTCTTGGTTGTGTCAAGCACCGCAAACTTTTCAATGAGACCTGTAGAATCAGCAATTTTTTGGGTGATATTCTAATTTTTAGCTCAGATTTAGCTCATTTTCCAGACCATACATCACACGTTTCGTTCAAGAAGTGTCGGAAAAGTCAAGAAACTGAAGGAATCTGGCCGTGATAAATGGTATAATTTTGGCACTTTTTAAACTGTTCAAGCCCACCGTGGGGTTTTGGCATTCTCGGGGTCAAACTAGTGGTTTCCAACTTTTTATTTTGGCTTCCTCCAGAAATCAGACTGTTGAGTTGAAAACATCTTCTCCAAATTGTGATTTCTCCCTCCAAACTTCTCACATGGTTTCCTCT